CATGACTGCAGGAAATAAACAATAAATGCTTTCCTTCCAATTTGAGTTTTATTCGTGCCCTTTCCATTTTGAATCTCACGCATGCGCATTCGAACAATTTGCCCGCCAATTTTTGACAAACACAACGTAGGTTCCTAACCACTTCGATGACGATCACGATTTTTCGGCCATTTTGTTTTCATTTGAATTTGGCGCTCAGGTATTCACTTTTGGCGGGCAGGGTATGGCCTTTTAGGTCATCACAAATTAAAATAATTAAACGAGCAACAGGGTAAATAACCGAAAAATTTAAATACAAGAGTTTGTAGAAGAATGAAGCAGATTTGTTTGGAGATCAATATCTACATACTCCAAAAAGTATCAGTTTAATTATAAAGTTGAATTAAAAATACAAATACAATACAAATTTGATTTTATAAGATAGGGGTATTATTGTAAAAATTATAGAAAAACACTTTAAGTATCGATATTTGTGTTTAAGATAACAAACTACTCTCGTGCACGTATTTTATGAGTATATAAAGGCAATTACCTACAAACCATTTTAGTAGTTACTTCTATATTTGACTGCAAAATGTTTTGGTTTATCTATCTTCTGTTCATTTTTCTTTTAAGTAATAATCAACAATGTCTATGTCTTCAGTATGGTATGAGTGATAAATAATTTCTACATCAAGTTAATTTGACATTTTGTTACAATTTTAGATTATTATTGGCGAGATTTCATTGACGGAGAAGTGCCCAGAGATGCTATAGTAGCAGGACAAAATATTAATAATGAAAACATTTACATTGGGCAAGTATACCCAAAAAATTGGGGTCTCATAACTGCTGAAATTTTTGCCGGGGTGAAAGAAGTCTACGTTCCGTTAGATGGGATCAAAAAGATAGACAAAAATATAAAAGTAACTAAATAGAGAACAGCAAGATTTTCTATTGCTACTTAAAAATTACCTGTTTTCTAGATTCTCTGTGGAACTCAACAAAACTTATATTGGATGCTAACGAATTCTTCTAGCCTTCCCTCACTGCTCGTTGATCATATTGCTGTGACTGGTGGGTATGAATATGCACAAAAGGGAGATCGTGAAGGAATACTATACATCGGAAAGTTAAAATACAACGGAGAATATAAAATCGGGAAAATTGTTTCGTTCTATCGTCCCAATACGTTTATTTTCAACGATAATATGGCAGAAATAGAAGCTAGCTCTTACGAAGTACTTCTATTACAAAAATAATAAGACCAGTAGGTAAATTTGTTGCAAGCAGACAGAAAATCTCTACTTGCAAGTGAAGATAATTTAACTATAAATATGTACCTAACATATCACGTAGAAAATTAAAAATATTGTATTAATATCTTTAATGATATAATAAAATAATAATGTAACAAATGTTCGTTATTGAATTGAAAAATTTGTGAAAGGTTATCATGAACATGAACTTTTTTGGTCCTCCAACCAGAAACGTTGATTTTGCATTTGTCAATATTGTCAGAAAACAACCCTATTGAAAGCCTAGTCCTACTGAATGTTTTGTTACTAATATACAATGAGAATCTACAAGATTGTTCAATTAGTTAAACTACTTTTCAAAAAATGTAAGTAAACAGTAAGAGCTTTTTTAATTTCTGATTAAAGGACTTAATTTTGAAATTAAGTTGACAACACACAATTAATGATGATATTAGATGGTGTCTCCGGAAATAAATGACAATTGACTCTAAAAATGTAATGTTTAACAACAGAGACATTAGACTCAAAAATCTTACATGGGACACCTGTATAGTTGTTTTATAATGTGTAAGTTAGCGTATGTTGTGTTTTTATACAGGGTGTCTGAGGAGCAAATATTTTAACCAGTAATAGGACTCGTCAAAAGGAACAACTTTCGTTATTCCAACTTTTGTCAAAAGCACGTCATTTCTTAGTTAAAATTAAAAATAAATTGAGGCTGAAAATCCGTCCCCGCCTATGTCTTAATACGATGTTTACAATAAGAAAAAACTTTGGAACGTAAACAGCGTAAAGAAATTATTGCTACATTAGGGTAGATCAGTGTCCATGTTAGTGGGTCAATATTTGCTATTATAAAAAATTGCTCGAAATGTGGTCATTCGTTGGCAATGCACACTTCTTGTGCTCTTCGGACTAGAGTAGCTTGAGTTCGCACACACAGCCCTTCGAAGGTATAAAATTGAGCTGCGTACAGTAATTCACTAATTGTTTCATGTGAACCCCCAAAAAAACACACGTATTTAAATGACCGTGGTGGTCATTGGCGACCAATCCATCTCTAGGGAAAATGATTGTTCAATACATTGGTGACGACTTTGGCATAATCTGATGGAGCTCCACTTGTAAATACCGCATGTGTCGCCAAGGGCACGTCCTCCACCAAATCGGGCAACACATTTTCCAAAAAATCCAGATAAACGGCACTAGTTAAACGTTGAGGTAATATGTGGGGTCCAATTTAGTGATCTTCAATGATCTCTGCCCAAACATTTAGTGAAAATCGGTCTTGGAAGTATACACTAGTTAATTTGGCGTTTGAGTAGTTGGCCATAATGACTTGAATGACAATTTGATTTCAAATCGAAATGCACAATTCACCCGAAAGCGCATTAACGACTAACTAAACTGACACGTGTAAACAAGTGATAATTTTTTTGGATTAAAAGTTTCCTTTTTTCTGTATAAAAACTTTCACGGTCAACATTCAATGCAATTTATTTTCATTTATATTTTTACTTCCAACTAACAAGGACAGACACACTGAACGGCTCGTGAAAATCATAGGGGGGAAATTGAAAAAATAAAATTTGGATACGGAATTTGTTTGGTCTTCAATTCGACTTTTTATAACAAATTCTCTTAGGGCCAGTTTCATAATCAATTTAATGGAACTTTAACTTTTAAAAGTGACTTTAATTCATAAAATGCGTTTCATAATACACTTTAAAATTAAAAATTGGCTTAAAGTGACTTTAATTTTAAAGCCTGGAACATCTTCCTTTAATTCGTTAAAGTGGCTTTAACAAACGTCAAATTTGTCAGAGTTGTTGGAATCACAAAAAATGAAAGTGTTCAGTGATTCTTCTAGTTCATTTTCTTCTTCCGACGAAGAAGAATATGTACCGCGAAGACGAAAAATTTATAGAAAAAGAAAAAATTATTTTGAGATTTACGACGATGTAGATTTTTTTGACCGTTTTCGTTTAACCAAGCCCACCGTTTACGCTGTTTTGGAAAGGATTGAACCTCTGATAAGATTGCGTTCTAACAGGTAAAATACATACATAATTACAATAATAAAAAAAAATTGTTTCATACATATCTTTTTAGAGGAGGTAGCATTAAACCAACTATTCAGTTGTTACTTACTCTCAGGTTTTATGCAACGGGTAACTTATTAATAACAGTGGCAGATTTTATGGGTATTTCAAAATCATCTGCATCTCGCATCATTCGAAGGGTTTCCAATGCCATTGCTAGCCTTCGACCGATCTATATAAACATGTATCAAAACCGCGCAGAAATGGAACAAGCTGCAGAAGATTTTTATGAAATCGCAAGGTTTCCGAGAGTAATTGGAGCCATCGATGGTACCCTAATACGAATCGATTCTCCAGGAGGTGACGATGCTGAAATATTTAGAGGAAGAAAAGATTTTTTTGCCAWAAATGTTCAAGCTGTAAGTGATTCGAAACTAAAATTTAAAGACATTATTGCCAGATGGCCTGGATCAACTCATGATCAGACCATTTTCAATAACTCCAATTTAAAAAGAAATTTTGAAAATGGRAGATATGGTAGATATCTTTTGATTGGAGACAGTGGATATGCTCTAAKGCCATATTTAATYACCAAGTTAACAAATACACGAAACGAAGCAGAAGATTTGTATAATGAATCGATAATTCGTACTCGAAATGTGGTAGAACGTCTGTTTGGTGTATGGAAAAAACGTTTTCCCATATTAAAGTTTGGAATGCGTTTAAAATTAGAAACTATTATGACAATTATTGTAGCGACGGCAGTTTTGCAAAATATTGCAGTGGAAATGAATGACTGGTTTCCTGATCAATGGTTTAATGACATTGTGGAAGATGATGACGATTTAGATCATCCAGATGGCAATCCAATTGAGAATCGTGGACAACACGTTCGTCAACTATTAATTGCAGAACATTTTGCTCGACTTTAGAAGTAAAACATAATGCAAATCAAAAATTTTAATAACATTTTAAAACACATTGTGTTGTAGTTGTTGTAGATAAAAATGAGATTCTTGTTACAAAAACTTTAAAGAAAAAGGATGTATATACAGAAAAAAGTTATTTAGCAAAAGATACAAGTGGGTATTATAATGATTGGCAATAAATTTTGTGTAATTTATTGAAATGAGCTCAAAGTTGATGCATTTTATAATTTTTTTTTCAGCTTTAGTTTCAAAATTGTTACTTTTTCAACTCGTTCCTCAAAAACGATGCACAAGACACTAAGTTAATTGCGTTCTTTCCAAGGTTCTTTCTCATCCACGTTTATTTTGTATTTTTGTCAATTTCTTGCTAAAAATTGAGAATGTTTAGCAAACCTGCATTACAAATTGCGTCTACATTTTAACGGGCCCTTTTTCTAACTTCTTGCTTGCGAACTATTCGTTTCCAAATTTCGAGAAACTGTTAGCGGTACCGAATTTGTTCCTTTTTTGGTGTTTCGTCTCTAAATTTTCTTAGACGATTTTTTGTGTTGACGTTTAATGACATTGTTTTCAAATTAATTCAAAAAACCAGAACTGCCAACTTTCTTAATTAAAATTACCATGAATGAATTTACTAGTGATGCCAACGTTAAGACTGTTTGGCATTTCCATTAAAAAAAAAAACAGACTTTAACGCAAGCGCACGCAAACATAAAAAAAGTTCTACCAACTTTACTTAAAGGCACTTTAACTAAAGATGATGTATTTTTCTATTATGAAACGCAATAACTTTAAAGTCGCTTTAAAGAAACTTTAATTTTTAAATATCCTTTAACTAAAGGGACTTTAAAGGAAGTATTATGAAACTGGTCCTTAGTGGTTAAAATATTTGCTCGTAATCCACAAACACTCTGTATAGTAATCAGAAATCGATGATTGTATTTATTACATACAGGTGCGCCAGAACTCGCGCCCCAGAGAAAAATGTCAAATGCCGGCGGCAATAGGTTGCCAAAAAGTGGAGCCGAAGAAGTAATTTTTGCTTGCATAAGAAAGTTATTCGACACTTAAATCCACCAATCCCAGAAGGGCACCTCAAGGCGTGATTGAAAAATTATATCGGTTGCTAGGTTACGAAAATAATACCAATTTGGCCAGAATTTTAAAAAATAGCTGGTCTACTGTAATTTTGCGTTTGACATTTATCGTGATGTGGGTGACATAACTTGTTAGTTTCCAGTATTTTTCTCGCTGAAGAGATTGTACACGAGTATAATGAGACAGAATCGTTATATTATTATCAACAATTATCAAAAATTATTTTGAAACATTCGAGAAACTCCTGATGAACCGACTTCTCTAAAACTTCTTCACAGGTATTGTTCCTTCTCAACTTTTTCTTCGATCTGATACAGATTAACAAACCGATAAATGAATTTTAGAGCTTGAAAACTTGTGCATTATCCTTATGAAACAAAGAAGCAAGTGAGTGTGAGAGACCAGAAAAACATGTAGTTTGTGCTTTATTGTCAGGTTGACTGACATTCAAATACGTATTATCAAATTTAATCAAATTCGAACATTCCAGCAGTAAGTGCGTTTAATAAAATAAAAATTATATCTCTGATATAAGAAGGTATGTCTCAAAGACGTGTCCCTATACTTTTGGGCATACCAAAGACTACCATTTCAAAGGACAAAGGTAAAAAGTAGCAAAAATTATCGAGCCTTCTGTCAACATGACAAACGTTAATCAAATTCTGAAACAAGGTTAGGAAAACCTAATGACTAATTTACACTTTTAATCTGTCAAGGAAATTGGGTGGACGAAATTCACTGTCCACCACTGTATATTACACGAACACCAGTCGCTATTCTGACTCTCACTGTTACCAACTTACACTAAGTAAAGTTACTATTTACAATATTGTTAGAAATGGGAAACTGTTTTTTTAAATTATTTTTAGTTATTGAGGGTTTGTTTGTTCCCTGGTTTATTATTAATAAAATTTGTTATTATTTATGGTAGGAGTGGGTAATCCACAATTATTGAATAATTTCAAAAATTCTAGAAGCGAATTTTGTTTTTAGCCCCGAGCACTTGGGTTTTAAAAAAACACAGAATTCGGAAACGGACTTTATTACCAAGAAGAACTATACATTAAGAATGTCGTATAATGAAAGACGAATTTGTTTACAAACTATTGTTATTTATAATATAAAAATGATAAGCTAAGCAACTATGATACAAAGAGGTGGTCCATAACTCCTCCGCCCTTAGAGTTGAATTCGGGGGTCGACTATAGGTTACGGGACGGAATTTGACGTTTTCTATATTCGGATTTTGATTTATCTTCGTTTTCTTCTACTTTCGACATGATTTTTGTGAATTGGTACCCTTGTCTAACTATTACAACATATAAAATAAAAATGATTAAAAATATAAGGATTAAATATAATATTATGGTCCAAACGCTGAACCGGTCGTTCTTCGGGTATTTGGTCAATTTTGGGTTTCATGACGTTGATGGACGCCTGTATTCGTCTTAAATCATCGAGGTTGATGGTGTCGAGTTTCAGGGGATCAAATTTGTAATATGTTCGTGAAGTGGTTAATTCTTCGAGTTCCAGCGGTGGTAGTTCGATATTTTGGTAATAATTTCGTGGGTTATTCAGTTGGTTGGTCTTGATAAGGACGCTGTTTATTTGAATTTCACATGAGCAATCGAGTTCAAGCAAGAAACTTCCGTGAAGAGAGATGTTGTCTTCATTTTGATCGCACCTTCGGATAGCCACTGTTTTATTGGGTAGGATAAGGATCCACTTGCTATTTTCGAGTTCTTGGATTTTTGGGCTTCGTACATGGACTGGCATTTGTTGACAATTGTGTGTCTGACTTGAAAACTATAATAATTGAAGTTCGCAAGGGGCATCTTCTTCTGTAATTCTGACTGTGGTTATTGATTGACAATTTCTTGGCATCTACTATCTGTTAATGCATAATTCCACTCATTGAGAAGTAAAAATTGACAGTTAGAATTTTTTCCCCCTCAACTAAATGAAACACACGAATAAAAGCACATTATCAGTTGTAAGGTCAAAAGGTAAACGATTTTGAGTTAATTTTATTTATTGAATTTCGGGTTAAAGTTCTGCGGGTTCAACGATGGAATTATGAAAAGTATTCAACAATTTCGATTTTTTGAAGAATATCATAAATTAATTGATAAGCTGTGGTAATCTGGGAAAGTATCATTTCTATTGTAAAACTAGCATGGGTGTCAAGGTTAGTCAGTTGTGATTGTTTTAGGATTACTTCGAATTGCAGAATCCTGGATTCCAAAATTAATTTGTTATGTCTAATTGTGTCAATTGATTTATTAAAATTTTGTATTGATTTTTCTAGGATGGTGATTTGTTCTTTCAACAATATTTTAACTCGTACTTGATTTTTTGAAAGGATTTCAATGGCTCTATCATATTGTTCGGCATCGTTTTGATCTAAATTTCCTGTAATTGATTTTATGATTGATCCTAATCCGTCGATGAGACCTCGTTTTTGTCTTTTGCTAATTATCGGATTTAATTGAGTGTCGCGTATCGGATTCCGGGAAGCAGAAATTGTAGTTCAAATTCTATTTACAAGTTTAATTTAGATGACAAGTCCGGGTGATCGTTAGATTCGAAACTGTCGAAACTATTTACAATATTTACAAATATTTCCTCTGCAATCACAGAGGGTGGTAGGGGATGGGTACTCGCAGGTACTCGTCTCTACATTGAGTAAGTAAAGTTGATTTTTAAATCGAAAGTTTCGATTAAACGATAGGAGTTGTAAAATTCTGTAGTTCCTTGTGTAATATTTTTAAAAATATTTTTGAGTCTTAAAAATTTTGATTGTAATGTATGAAATTGGTCAATGATGTTTGAAATGTCAAAAATTTGGGTAAAAGACCATTTATCTATTCGATTTTGGGCATTACCAATTTTAAGAGGAAGGAGACCTGGATTTTCATTTAGTTTGTGGAACTTTGGGAGGTTATACTCTGCGGTGACGCAGGATAAGAATCTGGAACAAAGACAGGTTTTCGTAGTTCTTTGATATGGATAATTTCTTTTTTATTTTTGTTATATTTGTCAGTAATTTCGACACGATTTCTTTCAAATATTTCAGTAATTTCAAAAGGGCCTAAAAATGTATTGATCTTTTTGTTTCGCGTTGTCTTTTGATTTTGTTAATAAACGGTTTGACCTAAATGGAATTCGTTACTCGTTTCACCATTAAAATTTCGTTTTGTTGTTATTTTAACTTTTTGATTTTCGAGATTGTCGTTAACCTTGTTGTAAACGTGTTTTAATTTGTCGCGATGATTTTGAGCATATTCGGAATAAAAGGCTGTTTGAAAAAATATTTCATTAGGATTTCGAGAATGTGTGTGACCAAAAGTTAATTCAAAAGGAGTGTAATTTGTTGAGCTGTGGATCGAGTTGTTGTAACCAATTATTGCATAGTCCATTAAATTATTATTTTCGCGAGGGTAGGTACAGTTCTATTCACAAAAAAAGCGTACATGTAGTGTGCACAATTTTGGCTAGATTGTCATATTGTAAACTTATCTTTAAATTGTCGTTACTTAGTAACCTGTAGCTAAATTCTTGCTGACAGCTGAATTTTATCGATGCATTTTTTAGAGATTTTGTGTGTAACTTTTTTGCCTTATTTATTAGACAACCATTACCAATTACTGCAAACACAACTCGCAAACATTTATTGATAAATTAATACAAAAATAAAAGGCAACTCTCAACAACTTAGCAACAATTTAAATAAATGTAACATGCTATTCTAATATTTGGTCATCGCGCCGTTTTTTGCGATAACTTAATTTAATCGACGAGGCATTGAATGTACAAACAAGTGCCTGGGCAAAAGTTTCATCGTCTGCTAAACTTTCCCAAGTATTTTCAACAACTTCCCATAGCTCATCTGCAGTACGAGGCCT